TATGTATATGTATATGCACATGTATATGTATATGTATATGTATATGTATATGTATATGTATATGTCTGGCAGCGTAGGCCTACTGAAAGCCTGCACGACCCTGCGGGCGAACTGCCCGCCCTAGACCCAGATCTCGGGACGGTCGCGCGGCGCAGCGACCCCGAGCAATTGAACAAATAATGTATATGTATATGTGTATGTATATGTATATGTATATGTATATGTATGTATATATATGTATATGTATATGTAAATGTACATGTATTTGTATTTGTATATGTATATGTATATGTATGTGTATATGTATGTGCATATTTACATGTACATGTATGTATGTATGTATGTATGTACGTAATATATATATATATATATAATATATATATATATATATATATATATATAGGTATATGTGTGTTTAAATATAATTGTAACTACGAATTAAAATATACGTATGTATGCATGTATGTATGTATGTATACATATACACACACCAGTATGGACCCATGAATTTAATCCATGGAGTTGAGCGGATCGAAGTTTGTGGCGCGCGCTGGATGGTACGACGCGTTCACCTACTGCAGCAAATCTTTTGAAACTTGCTCTGGACATGTTCTCCCGCCGGAGCCGCCGAATCCAGCGAGGCGGGCCGTCGGGGAACCGCTAGGGAGGTTTTTGGGCCCCCTTTGGGGGCCTCTCGGGGCATTCTTGGTCCGTGTAAAGGGCTCTCTTGGGCCTTTTCGGGGCCGCCTTGGGCGCCTCTTGGGCCGTCTTGGGGTCTCTTGGGGCCATGGTGGGGTGTCTTTGGCCCCTCTTGGGGTCCTCTTGTGCCGTCCTGGGGCAGTCAGTAACCATGTTGGGGTCCTGTTGGGGACGTCTCGGGCCGTCTTGGGACGGTGTCGGAAACCTCTGGGGCCATCGTGGGCGCGTCGAAAACGGAAAACATGTGCAGAACATAGCAATTTTACGAGAGGAATGCTACGATTTTCGTGTTATGCGAGCGACCCAATTGGGGATGCATCTTGGGCCGTGTGAAGGCCGTCTTGGGCAGGCCCGCGACCTCGGATGGCCGCGGGCAGGCTCGTCTGAAGTGTTTTGGGGCCGTTTGGAGGCTCTTTGGGGGCCTGGGGCCACCAAAAAGTGTTTTGGAGCTGTTTGGGGCCGTTTGAGGGCTCTCGGGGGGGCCGGGGGGGGCCAGGGCCACTAAGGTGTTTTTCGGGCCCGCCTTGAGCTCAACGCGGACAAGACCAAGGTATGGACCGCCAGCCCCGCCACGCCGATCCCTCCCCAGCTCGCGCCGCTCCGGACCGCCACCTTGACCGTCCTGGGGAACCCGGTCACGTGGTACGACCGAAACGAGGACGACGACGACGACGCCAGGCTGCCCCTCCTGGCCAGTTCCGATGGTCGAGAGGTCCTTGACAAAACGCGGAATTTCCTGGCCCACTGGAGAGCGCTGCGCCAGAACGGACTCTCGGCGGAGGGGGCACACACGCTGCTCCGCACCTACGCCCAGGGCTGCTGCACCCACCTGCTGCGCGCGAGCTACGAGACCGCCTGGGTGGGGGGAGCTCGACGACTTGCCCTTCGGGGCTTACGCTGCGTTAGCGGGGCCCCTGAGCAATGAGCAGAAGGAGTGGCCCACCCTCCGCCTCAAAGACGGCGGCAACGGCTTCCCCTCGGCCCGGGAGACCGCCGCCCGCGCCTACCTCGGAAGCTGGGCTTTCTGCTTTCGGGGCGTGGCTACCTCGGAGCCAGCTCGGCGGAGGCCGTCCGGGCGCGCTGCCCTCAGACTGCAGACGCTTGGCGCCGCGCCGAAGCGGAGCTCGACAGGCAGGAGGCGAAGGCCGAACCCTTGGACTGGGCAGCTCTCCTGGCTGCGCCTAGGGCCATACAGCAGGGGCACTGGGGGAAGAGGACCTCCTTCGCCAAAAAAGCGCGGCTCCTCCGGACGCTAGACGAGGACGGCCAACTCGCTCTGCGCGGCGCCGGAGGCCCCGGGGCGGGGGCCTGGCTCCTGCCGCGCGAGGAGGGCGACGCGCCCCTCCCAGACAACCACTTCCTGGCCAACTTGCGCATGCGTCTTTGCTGCGACGTGTGTGCCCCGGGCTCGCCCTGTCAGCACCGCAAACAGGACGGCTCGCTTTGCGGAGAAGCGCTGGACGCCAAAGGCTGGCACGCCCGGAAGTGCGGGTGCGGGGACAGCAGGGACTACAGGCACAATTCCCTGCGCGACTGGAGCGGGCCCTGGCACTACGCTCAGACGGGCCACAGGGCCACGACCGAGCAGCGAGTCCCTGCTTGGGACCGCCAGCGCCCCGACACTGGAGCCTGGGAGGAGGCCATCCTCGACGTGGCCACGCGCGACCCCGCTACCAACGCCCCAATCTTTGTGGACTGGTCCGTCACCTGCGAACGCAGCGACAACAACGCTCGCAGGCAGGCCAGGGCTCGCACGGACGGGGTGGCGGCGGCTCAGGTAGTCGACAGAAAGCGGGCGCGCTACCCCCCGGCCGGAGGGGAACTCATCCCGGCCGTCTTGGAGACTGGGGGCCGGCCGGCGGACGAGCTGGTCGCCTTCGTGCGCTCCTACGGCCGGGACCTGCCAGATGCCGGCCGGTCCGTTGTGATCTCTACAACGTGGAGAAAGATGCAGCGGTGCCTTGCTTTCGGCAACGCTGAAATGCTGCTGAGTGCGACGTGAGCCACTCACCAGCTCCGACTGGACCACCGACGCCACCGCGGCGACCACTAGCACGCCCGCCCCACGCCCGCTACGACCACCGCGACCACCACTACGACCGCCGTCCTACGACCACTACGACAACCACGCCCACCAGACTGCGCTCGCCTGCCGTCACGACCGCTGCGACGACCAATGCGGGCGGCCGCGACGACGACGACCAGCGCCGCGACCATTATATACGACCACCCTGACCACTTCGGCCGCCACCGCGACCGCCGCCCCCACGCCCTCTACGACCATCCCGTCCGCCACCGCGACCGCCGCCTTCCGACCGCCCCCGTCCCTGGCCCCTGCCTCCCCCCCCACCGGCTGGCCGCTCCCCCCGCTTCCTCCTCCTCCTCCTCCTCCTCCTCCTCCTCCTCCTCCTCCTCCTCCTCCTCCTAATGTTCTGGCGTTCTTGTCGCTCGCTGGCCGGTGTGGTTTCGCACCGGGGAGCCGCCGCCAGCTGCCTTGCCCGGGCCTGGTTGCTCCCCGGGTGCGGGGGAGTGTCCTTCCCTCCCCCCCCCACGAGAGAGAAAGAGAGAGAGAGAGAGAGAGAGAAAGAGAGAGAGAGAGAGACATATGTATGTACACACATATATATATATATATACACATGTATGTGTATATTTATGTATATGTATATATATACATATATATATATATATATACATGTACGTGCTTGGGGGCAGTGCGTCGGCAGGAGTTGCGCGGCGGGCGGGGGCGGGCGTTGGAGCCGGGCGGGGCCTGGGGCGGGAGCGGGATCGCGGCCGGACGCGGAACATGTCCAACACAATTTTTCCCTCCTCCTCTTCCTCCTCCTCCTCCTCCTCGTCCTCCTCCTCCTCTTCCTCCCCCTCCTCCTCCTCCTCCTCCTCCTCCTCCTCCTCCTTCTCCTCCTCCTCCTCCTCCTCCTCCTCCTCCTCCTCCTCCTCCTCCTCCTCCTCCTCCTCTTCAAGACAGCTCCAGGAGGCCGCCCTGGCCGGTTTCCCCAGCCGGGCCGGCCTTTGGCGCGGCCCCCCCGGGGGCGCAGCGGGCCCGCCGGGTGGCGGCGGACCTCCTCGATCGAGCCTCTGAGGCCCCCTCGGGGCTGGCGCGCGGGCGTGGGCGCGCTGCGCGCGTACTTAGGCGCGCCTGCGGGCCCCTCCGCCTCGCCTCGCTCCCCCCCCGCCCCCGGCCTCTTCCTCCCCGTCCTCCGCGTGCCCGTCCTCGCCCAGGAGCGGCCCCGGGCGAGGGGGGGGGGGAAGTGAGAAGGAAGGGGTGGGCCTTCTCGGGAGGCTCGGGAGTCCCCCGGCCCTCCGAGAAGTTTTCCGAGCCTTCCCCGAAGACACGGGTGCCTTCTCAGAAGGCCCGAGGGCTTCTGAGAAGCTCCGCCGCCTTCTGAGAGGGCCTTCTCCTTCTCACTTCCCCCCTTCGCTCGCCGCCAAAGTGAGGCGGAAAAGATGAGCAAGGGGTCTCTTGCAGCGGTCTGGTCGGGCGGAGCGTGGGGGGAGCGTGGTGCGCGCGCGCGTGCGGCCGCCCTAAAGTTCAAGGGCTGCCGCGGGGATGGTCCCTCTCTCTCTTGCGGCTTGCTTTCGGCTCGTGTGGCTTGGTCGTCGCGTCGCTCGCTCGCTCCCGATCTTCTGCAGGTTCGTGAGCTCGGGCGCTCGGCACTCCAGAAGGGCTTCGGAGGGCCCTGAGCCTGAGGACTCCCGACGGCGGGAACGAGTCCGAGGGCTGGCCATGTACCACGCCGCGGGTCTCTGGCGGCCGTTCGGGACGTTCCGAGCACCCCGGGCGTGGCACAGCTGCCGGAGAGCATCCGGAGGCTGGAGAGCCGCCGAGAGCTGGCGAGTGCGTTCGAAGGCCTCGAGCCTCGAAGCTCCAGCATCCCCTGCGAGCAGGACTGGGCCGGCCGCGGCCAGGCGTCCAGACGTCTTGACCTTGCCTGCCTTCCCTCCCTCATCCCTCCCTCGTTGCGCCTCCCTCCCTCGTTCCACATCCCTGCTTCATCCCCCCCCTCTCTCCCTCATCTCTCCCGCATTCCCCATCCCTCCCTCGTTCCCCTTCGCTCTCTGATACCCCATCCCTCATCCTCATCCCTCCCTCATTCCCCATCCTTCCCTCGTTTCCCAGGACAGCGAAGGGTCAGGGATGTAGGACAGGGGTAGGGGGATAGGGCTGTAAGATAGAGACGCGGATGCAAGACAGGGATCGGGAATCATTTCGTCGGAGAGCAGGGTTCCTCCCTCGTCCCTCAGCCCGCCCCCCCACCCCACCCCTCCCCCTCTCCGCGCAGCGCCGGCAAGCCGCACCGCACCGCGTGGCTGGTGCGGCGGCCCGGCGCCGCCGGGCGGGCGGGCGGCGCCGAGGGCTGGCAGCCGCTCCACAGGCGCGCCGCTCCCGCCCTGGGCAGGGCTTATCTCGATCCGATCGATGCGTTTCGATGCCGACTCCGGCCGGCCTGACCCAGTTCGAGTCTGATCCTCCTTCGGCCCGAGTCTCCCCGGCGCTCGCATGGGCGCTGCTGTGCGTCCTGGCGCGGCCGGTCCGGCTCGATGCCGACTCCGTGCCGGTGCGGCCCGATCCAACCCACATTCCCATTCGATCTGGTTTCCCGATTAGGTGGCCACATGCGAACCCTACCCCTACCCCCCACGATTGCTGAGGGGGAGGGTGGGGTTCACTTTGCGCGGGAGCTCCCGAGCGAAGTCAACCCCACCCTTCCCCTCAGAAATCGTGGGGGGTAGGGGTAGGGTTCGCATGTGGCCCCCTACCGATTCGATGCTGGCTGATCCCGCCGTGGGCCGCGAGGCCTTGGCGGGTCGCGCAGAGCCCAGACTCCCAGGGTCTCGAGACCATCCAGGTTCAAGGATCGAGCCTCGAGGATCGACGATCCCCCAGACCTCCGCCACTCTGGGCGTGCCTCTCCGATCTCTCCTTCGGCGCGCCGTCAGGGCGTGCTGCAGCCCGCTCTTCGTTGGGAGGTGCGCCAGCGCGCGTCGTGTGCCATGGCTGGCGGTGGCCACCCCTCCGTCGTCGCCGTCGCCGTCGCCGTCGTCGCCGTCGCCGTCGTCGTCGTCGTCGTCGTCGTCGTCGTCGTCATCGTCGTCGTCGTCGTCGTCTTCGTCTTCGTCTTCGTTGTTGTCGTCGTCGTCTTCGTTATCGTCGTCGTCGTCGTCGTCGTCGTCGTCGTCGTCGTCGTCGTCGAGGGACGATTCGCTTTTGGAGTCCGAGGGGCTATTGGCTTCTGGAGTCTGCAGCCTGGAGGCAGAGCAGCTGCTACGGCCGACCCCTGCCAGGCATGTGCCCTGTGTCGCCGCGCGCCCTGTCCCTCTCGAGGCCAGCTTGACCGTGCGCACGACCAGGTGGGGCGCTCGGGCGCGCGCGAGAGGGCAGCGGGCGGTCCTTAGGATGGCCGCGACGGCGGCGCTCGGGTCGGGTGCCCCCGCGCACGGGGTACCTCGTGGGTGCTCTCGCCGCGGCGCGGGCAGCAGTTCCGAGGGGGCGAGCTGCACCTTGCGGCCACCGTTGCCGCCGGGTGGGGTCCGTCCCGTGGGTGCGGTGGGCTCGGCCTGCTGGCTGCTGAGCACCAGGGCTCCTGAGCCTCAGGATTCCGATCCTCGTTTCGCTCCACCTCTTCGGACGGCCCGATCTCCGCGATGCCGCAAAGGTAGCCTTGTCGCGCTCCCAGAAGGAAGAGTCGGGAGATCGGCCCGAGTGGGGGTGGTACGTCAGGGAACAGTTCTGGAGCCGGTGGTGAGCCCCATCCGCAGAAGGAGTTGGTTGGGTAGGTGCCAGGGCTCGGAGAGGTCAGAACAACCCTCCCTCGACACAGGCAGGATCATCATCTACAAGAGGGTCGTACTGACGATGTCTTGTTTCGTCGTCTTCGGTGTCAGTGTCGTCGTCGTCGTCATCCTCCTCCTCCTCTTCTTCCCCCTGCTCTGTACCCACGCCTCCGCCTCTTCCTGATCTATGTCCGTATATAATGTGTGCATACACACATCGAAAGAGAGAGAGAGAGAGAGAACAAGAGCGAGAGAGAAAGACAATCTACATATGTATGGAGATCGCAAAACAAGTGTACTTATACATATATATATATATATATATATATTGTATATGCACGCATGCATGTGTGTACACATCAATATATATAGTTATAACGAGGGAGAAAGAGAGGGAATCAATGGTGTGTTCGCTGGCTCGCGCGAGCTTCTTTGCTTGCTCCCTGCTGCGATTTCTATCCTTGTTCTCTGTCAGAATATGCTACTTCTTCCCCGTCTCGCGCTCCATTCGGCCCCTTCCGTCCCACCAGTGAGCGCAATACGATGTCGACGTCTTCTCTTTCGACGTCGGCGCCGTGCCTCCGGCGCTCCAGAGAGCGTGGCAGGAGTGGGACGCGGTGCACATCGCACGCGATGTGTCGACATGCCGCTCTCGCACAGTCGCCGCCAATCGTTTCTCTTCGAAGCTGAGCTCTCGCCTGGTCGCGGCGCACGCTCTTTTGGCTCACCAGTGCGTCCGCGGCGTGGTCGCGCGCTGGCGGGTGTAAAACGGCTCTCTCGCCGCAGCGCCGCGCCGACTTCGACCCCAACAAACGGCCGGCGCTCTCGCCTCGGCGCGGCGCGTTGGTTTTTGCTGGCCCAGTCGGTCGTTAGGAGAGGGAGATCAGCCGAGGAAAACGTGCCGATACTGCTACCCTTCCCTCGTTTTCCCCTTCCAGGGCCTCCTGGGATGCCCTCGTCGCCGCGGCCGGATTCGCCTCGAAATGCTGGTCAGGACGCAGCCCGGGAGAGGTCCGGGGAGTAGCGTCGCAGGCCTAGAGGTTGACACCAACACCAAGATCGGCGGTGTGCCTCCACTGAGGGAAGACGATCCCGATCTCGGTGATGGTGGTAATATTCTGGCGTCCAAGGTGACCGAAATATTACCACCAACACTGAAATCTAGGATCATCTTCCCCCTGTGGAGGCAAACCCCCTGTGTTGGTGTTGGTGCCCATTTCCAGGCCTCCAATAGTGGCATCGGTACCTGTTGGCTTCGCCAGGAGCGGGGCCGCGCGCGAGCGGGCCAGGCCGCCCCCGCCCAGGCGCCGCGCAGCCTTCGCCCGAGGGCGGATCTCCCCATTCGGCGCGGTGCATGTTCTGCCTCCGCCGCCCGCTTTCTTGCCCTGGACTGGCATCCCTCGGCAGATCGGGACGGTCGAGATGGGTACGGAAAGACTGGGCACAATGCCCAACAGCAGTTCCTGTTCATTTTGAACAGGGCTCGCTGTCCGCGTCGCCGCGGCCTGTGTCCATTTCAGACAGATGGCCGCCTGCCCAACAACTGCCGCTGTTGGTTTGGGACAACATTTGTTGTTGGGCATTGTACCCATCTTTTCCGTACCCATTTCGGGCGTCCAAAGCAGACGCATTGACAATGACAAGGACTTGAGCCTGCCTCCGACACCCCGGAGCGCGTCACGCCCTGAGGGCGCCCCGGCCGTCCGCGGCCTTCTTCCCCTTTCCCTTCCTGCCTTTCCTTCATCCGCTGTGCCCAGTTCGCTCAGCGGCAGCCTTGTTGCAGTTCGACCGCAACTAGGATCCAAGGCGCCACCGACTGAAAAGGGCTTGCCTTCGCCAGTCCAGTCGAAATTGTTTTTTATCCTCTCGCGCGAAGTGGTGGTTACCGGGGCCAACCCGCCCCCCGGGGTGACAGTCACGATCGTGCGTGGGTGGGTGCATATCAACAACCATAAGGATTCTTCCCTGGATGCATATAGGGGCGGCTGGGCCCCGCCCTCCCCGCATGCTGGTGTTCGCGCGCGTACGATGGCGATTGCAGCGCGCCCCCCGCCCCGACGCGCCCCGCCCCGCGCAAGCGTTGCTGTTATCCGGGGCCCGACCCCTCCCCCCACCCGGTGAGAACCTTGAATTCGGGGAGCGAACAGTGACATAAACATAACAACTCGGAGGCAGGTCCATGCGGATTTCTTGGGTCCGCGCTGAACCCCCCTCCCTGGCGCGCGGAGCGCGCCAGGGGCGGCGCTGGAGGCGCCGCCAGGGGGCCCCAGCGCCGATCCGAGAAATTCGCGCGGACCTCCGAGTTTTTATGTTTGTGTCGTTACTCGTTCCCTTATTCGTTACCCGAACTGAAGGAAACACTGTCGTCGGGCACGTGGCCGCGTGCGCGAGGGCTGCGTGGTGCTCGCGCCGAGGCGCCGCGCAAGGGCTTTCCGAGAGCTTCGCTCCCGCGCGCGCGCGGCTTGCGTGTTCTGTCTTCGCAGGGTCGTCGGGGGGGCGGGGCCGCGCGCGGGTGCCTCTCCTCTTCTCGGCAGCGCGTTAGGAGTGACCTTTCGCCGGAGTGACCGCACACTGGTCGGGTGGAGGAGAAGCGACACCAGTTCCACCAGGGGGCCCACCTCCAGCAAGGAGGTCCACGATGCCTCCCCGAGCTGGAGGCCGGGGATGTCTCGAGCGAGAGGGGGGGACCGCACCACCAGGGAGGCCCCCCTTGCCTCCTCGCATCTCCTCGCCCTGGTGTTGTTGGTGTCGCCTTTCCTTGTTTCTATCTGGGGTCCCCAGGTGGCTGAGTGCGATGTGATAGCAGCAGCTCGCAGGCTCGGGTTTGCCCCCCCCCCCGCGCCTACCCCGAAAGTCGCGCGCCAAAGGGTCACTCTTGCCTAGGGTCGCTCTTCGTGTGGCCGGTCTTCGTTGGGTGGGGGCCCGCGCCAGCTTAATCTTTCAGTTGTGCCTGCACTTGCTCTCTCATGCTATGGGGGAGTGAGGGGGGAGTCGGCCAGGCCCGCTGACTCATGCGAGCTGGCTCGCATGACTCTCCCTGCCACGGATGCTCCTCTTCGATTTATCAAGGAAGCCCGCCTCCTAAGGCGCGTGACCGTCACTGTCACCGTCGCCGTCGCCGTCAACGTCACCGTCACCGTCATCATCATCATCATCATCATCATCATCATCATCATCATCATCATCATCATCATCATCATCATCATCATCATCATCATCATCATCATCATCATCATCATACAGCGACTTGTCGGCAATTGTGGCAACACCGCGGCCGTATTCCCTCGCTCAAGTTCTAAAGGAATGCAAGCATTCTTTGAGCGGGTCTGAGCCGACCTCACCAGTGCCCTCACCACTGCCATCATCGTTCGCGGCAGCTCGACGCCTTGCCCAGATTGCGTCTGCTCTCCTGCGGTGCACTGCCCAGCGCTGGAGTGCCGCTGCCCGACTGGCGAGGGCTCCCTGGCATCTGCTCAGCCCACAGGCTGGTCAACCGAGTTCGTGGTCGTGCTCGTGGTGAGCGCCTTCGCGTACGGCATCGTCGTCGGCGGCTACTTCGTCAAGAGCTCGCTGACGGCCCCCGTGGTGCAGCCTGCACCCGCTCCAGCACCTCAGCAGGAGGCCGTGGACACTCTCGACCTCGCGACTGCGGCGGCTGCCCAGGCGAGGAAGTTCCGCCGCTAGGAGCAATGGCTGCTCGCGCCGCTGGACAGTTCCACTACGTTCGGTACAACGTCGGGGGGCCCGCCATCTATCACGAGAGACTCACTTTGCTGCCAGGGTACATCCTCACCCCTGACGATGACGACTATGCTGAGAGCGACTTGGCAGGTGGCGACTTGAGATCTGTGCATGACTCGGCGGGCCAGGGCGACGCGATCGTCGGAGTCGCCGCCAACAACCTCTACAAGTTCAGGCGGCTGCCGTCTGCAGCCGTCGTCTGGGCTGCTGTGCGCCGCGGCGTTGCCCAGGGCCATGGGCCTCTGCCGCCGTCGCCCTTCAACCTCGAGCTCAGCGCCGACAACGTGCTGGGCGTGGCGGCGGGGGTGCTGGCCTTACCCGACCCGCTCGGAGCGGCGCCCGCTGCCGCAGCGCCTGGCGCGCTGGCCTTGGCTGGCGCGGCCGCGCCCCCCGCGGGCGCCCCTGGGCCGCCTGCCGCGGCGGCCGCTGCGCCCGAGGGCGGGGTGGGCGCGCTGGCTGCGGCGCGCGGTGCGGGGGGGGGGGCCGCCCTGCCTGCCGCCGCTGGCCCTCCGGGCGTCGGCGCCGCCGCCGCGGCCCCCGCGGCCCCAGGCGTTGCGGGGCCTGATCCCCGTGTGATGGCCACCGTCCTCGACGCTCGCGGGTTGCGGGACATGCCCTTCAGTGACGCTGTGAAGCGCCAGACCGAGACCCCCCGCGCCGACTGGCCCGCGAAGGGCCCAAGGACCACGATGTGGGTGCTCCACTTCATGCTCCGCATGGCTGGCGGGGCGATGGCGTGGCACAACCGCTGGATGGCCATGATGCAGGCCTTAGAGACGGACGACACCGCTAAGCTGCGCGAGACGCTGTGCCGCGCCATCGAGACCTCGCTCTGCCACGACCAGCTGATCATCTGCGAGCTGGCCTCCTACGAGTTCCTGTCGCGGCAGCTGCAGTTGGTGGAGGAGCGCTTCTTCGAGGAGCGCGCGCGCAGGACCCACCCTGCGCCCAAGGCCAAGGGCCAGGCCAAGGACGGCGCCGCGGCCGCGGCCGCCGACGTCTCCTCTGAGATCGGCCACTTCCTCGGCACTGGAGAGGCGATGGGCAACTTGTGCATTTGCCCAGCCTTGATGGACTGGATCGCCGACCAGATGAAGAGTGAGACAGCTGTTGCAAAGGAGCGCCGCGAGGCTCGCGAGGAGCGGGCCTTGCGGCATCCATGACGTTCCTGAAGGACGCTGGTCAGGAGGGGCCTCACGACGTGCAGCCTGTTCGTGAGCCTGGCCAGCTTGGCCCCGAGCCCTTCGAGGCTCCACCTGGCTTGGAGTTGCCCAGACGAGGTGACCGTCGCCAGCGTGACGTTTTTCCGCTTCCTCTTCTTCCAGTGGATGGGCGTCGCCATCTTCTGCCTGGTCGTGGGGCTCGTCTGCGCGCCGCCAAAGGCGCGGGCTGGAGAGAGTGGTGCAACGAGGGATTGTCTGCTCTCAACTGGCTCCACTGCGGCAGGGACGAGCCCTCCATGCCTGACGAAGGGGGGCCGCCGCCTGCGGCCCAGGCAGCCTCAGTGGACTACATCGCGGGCTTGCACCGCGACTTCGAGCTGCCCGCCGCCTACTCGGAGAGAGGCCGCGATTGCGAATCATCCCTCGTAGAGATGCTCGCGCAGGCACCTGGCTACGCTGGTGACAGCGGTCGAGTGCGCCCCTACAGCATGCCGCTTGTGGCCTGGCCCGAGTCGGCGAAGGCAGTCTCCACCTGCGGCGTCGTCTCCGAGGCCGACTCCATCGTGCTGCAGGATTGGAGGCAGAGTATGCTGAATCCCGAGTCAGTGGCGGCGGAGCTGCGCGAATCGCTGGGGGTTCTCCGCCCCTATGTGGATCCTGAGCTGCGCTTTAAGCCGAAGTCCTACGCTGAGTTTTTTGAAGCAGCTGGAGGCCCGCGATATGATCACCTGGCGGGTCTCCAGCGAGCAGGCATCCTTCTCTACTGGTCTCTTCTTCGCGCAGAAATCAAACGGCAAACTGAGGTTGGTTTTCGACACCAGGCTGGCCAACTGCAGCTTCTCGTGCCCACCAGCCACTCGCCTGCCCACGCCCAGCGCGCGGGCCAGCCTTGACTGCGATGACAGTTTTCAGTTCGCGCAGGGTGGCATTCAGTGTGCATTCTAGCATTTACGATTGCCAGCTGGCATGGAGTCTCTGTTCTCTTTGCCACCGACAAACAACAGATTCCTCGGCCTCAAGTCGGTCAACGGGGTTCGTCTTGGCGTCAACGACTGTCCCCAGCCTCTTGTCACGGTCGTTCCCATGGGGTGGAGTTGGGCTCTCCACCTGTGCCAGAGTGCGCTGACGAGAGCCCTGTCGGATGTCGGGTTCGGCAGTGACGATGTGATTTTGGATGGGGGCTGTCCTCGTCCCTTGGTGGCTGAGAAGGACGCGGTGTGTGCAGGATATGTTGACAACTTCTGTGTCGTATCCAAGTGCGCGGAGACAGCCGCGTCCCTTGCTCGTGCCGTCGCTGACCTTCTCACGGCCCGCGGGTTGCCTGTCTTGGAATTCTCCCCCGCGGTCAGTAAGGGGGTCTTCACGGGCTTGGAGATCGACGGAGCCTCTGGGATCATTCGTGTTCGTCCTGACCGCCTCGCTCGCACTCGTCAAGCCGTTCTCGGACTTTTGAAGCGTGGGCGGGCCTCTGCTGGGGCCCTCAGCGTGCTCGTGGGTCACTGTACTTGGGGGGTGATCCTGAGGCGCGACGTTCTGAGCATCTTTCACGCGGTCTATCGGTTAATGGGGGCTGTGGGACCTCATCCCGGACCCCTGTGGCCCTCGGTCGTCAGGGAGTTGTCGGCTGCCGTGGCCCTCATCCCGCTCTGGAGTGCCTCTACAAGGTCTCGCTGGTATCCGCGGGTGCATGCTTCTGATGCGTCGCCGTTCGGGATGGGTGTCTGTGTCAAGGAGGTCTCCCCCACGCTGTCGTCTGAGGTCGGCCGAGTCGCCGAACGCTGGAGATATCGTCATGGGGATGCTGTGCTTGCCAGATCACACGCCCTAGACGTCGACGGTCGAGACGATGCTGCCGACGGTTGCCGTGCCGACGCATCGTCTACTGCCCCTACTGCTTCGTCGTCTGGGCTCAGTGGATTCTTCGAGGTTCCTGAGTCCATCTACGGGGTCGAGGGTTGGAAGACCATGCGCTCTAGCCGTCATACCCGACGAGGCTGCGATATCCTTCAGTACGAGGCGGAGGCCCTGGGGTTCAGCGTCCATCATGCTTCGAGGGCCCTGGGTGCTCATCATCGTCGCGTCGTCTGTATCGTGGACAATTTGGCTCTAGCTCTTTCGCTCGGCAAGGGGCGGTCTGGGAGCCGACATCTTCTCCGCGCCCTGCGGCGCATCGCTGGCGCGGCCCTCGCCTGTGGCCTGCGCCTGCTCGTGCGGTGGGTGCCGTCAGAGAGGAATGTCGCGGACAAGCCGTCGAGGGAGGGCTTCTTCGTCGGCCCTAGCTTCGAGGGCGTCGGGTCGTACCTCGTCTCGCGCCGCCCGCGGATCCCCCAGGGAGGTGATCAAGGCGGCGAGGGGCAAGCGGGAACATCCTGGTCCGCTGACGCTCCTGCGGGGCGGACTGTCGGTGCTGGAGGCCAACGCGGTCTCGGAGTCGACGGGCAAGAACTACCACGCCTCCGCCATCAGGTTTCTGAACTGGTGCCTCTGGGCCGCCAGGGACTTCAAGAACAGCGTCGAGCTCGACACGATCCTCGTGGTGTTCTTCGTCCACCTTCCTCGACGGGTACGACAGTGCGACGGGCCGCGTCACGATGGCCTCTCTGAAGCACCATTTGCCGTCGATGCTGATGGGCAGCCGCCCGCTGCCACGGGCCTTTCGGGCCCTCCAGGGCTGGGCGAAGCTCGTGCCGCCGCAGATGCGGCTCCCGCTGCCGAGGGTCGCGATGTTCGCCATCGTGGGCGTGCTGCTGTCGCAGGGGCTTTTGTCGCAGGCGGTCTTCGTGAGGATCGCGTTCGACACATACCTCCGCCCCAGCGAGGCCTACCGACTCACGGCGGCCTCCCTGATCGCTCCGAGGTCGGGCTCCACGGAGGGCTACCAGCATTGGGCATTGTTGGTGAACGACGCGGCGAGCGGGAGGCCTGGCAAGACGGGGGTCACCGACGAGAGCGTCATCGTCGACGATCCGCTCCTCTGGCCTCTCCTCGAGGCGCTTCGGCAAGGGCGCCGCGCGGAGGGGGGCCTCTGGGCCTTCGCGCCGCGCCAGCTGCGGCGCGTCTTCGCGGAGGCCTTGGTCCAGCTCGGGATCTCCGACCAGCAGACCTCCTTCTACTCGCTGCGCCACGGGGGGGCCTCCGACGACCTCCTCTCAGGTCGCCGCACGAGGAAGGAGGTCAAGGACCGCGGCAGGTGGAGGACGGACCAGTCTCTGAACAGGTGCGCCAAGCGGGCGCGCATGCAGCAGCGGCTGGCCCAGCTCGACCCCGCGCTGGTGGACTTCGGGCAGAAGGTCGAGAGCGATCTGCTGGGCCTGATGGGCGTGGCGGCGAGGACGGGCATCTTCTCGCTGCCGCTGCCGCCCCTGAGGCCGGCGTCGGCGTCGGCGCCGGTGCAGGCGGCTCCCGCGATGACCGACAAGTGGCTCTTCGTGTGAGGCGCCTGTGGCTACGAGCGCGGGCGCATGCCACAGTGATGCCTTACCTCATCATGCTCTGCACCTGTGTCCCCGACCGAGTTCGGCGAGTGTGCGAGGCCCGCGGGCTCGGCGCCGTAGCGGTGAACGTTGCTCGACATCGCCTCGACGACCTCGCTGACCCTCAGGTTCTGAAGGCTCTGACTGGCTGAGTGCGCGCCACGGCTGTGCTTGGAGTCTGGGCATCCTTGCCCTGGGGCACCTGGGCGCCAGGGGCGGCGCGTGCCCGCAAGTTTGATTCTCTGTTGCACGTGAATAGAGCCTCAGAGGCCGCCTGTCGTGCCGTGCGAGTGGCCAACGCGCTGGCTGATTCCACCTTCAAATTGATTGCTGAATGTATCTTCCGCAGAGTCCCGATCATTTTTATGCACCCTGAGTCGAGCCTCATTTGGAGGCATCCCCGCCTGTCCCCTCTCCTTGCCTCGTCCTCCTCTTCCTGCTCCCTCGACGCGTGCATGTATGCGGGTCGCGTGAGACAGCGAACCCACCTTGTCGGATGGGGCGTGCGGGACCTTGATTGCCTCGCTCGTCGTTGCCTCTGCGCCCAAGGCCTCTGTGATCGCGCTCAGAGACGTCACCTGGGAGGCCTGGGACGTCCAGCTCTGGACGCCGTAGCTCGTGCCTCTGCTAAGGGTCTCCCCTCGGAAGTGGCCATGGCTGGCACTGAAATGATAGTGGCCGAAGCTCGTCATCTGTCCCGCGCCGCGAGATATAAGAAAATGTTTGGTCAATGAGTAATTCGGCTGTTGCCACCTGGGTAGACTAGCGTGTGGTACCGAGTCTGTGCTTCACTGCTGGCGTATCGCTCGTGGCCGCCCTCCGCCGTTTGCACAAAGAAGAAACAAGATGGCCCCGAATCGTCCACATACAGCGACTTGTCGGCAATTGTGGCAACACCGCAGCCGTATTCCCTCGCTCAAGTTCTACCCTGGGCCCTCCCACCCACTTGAGCTTTTAAAGTTTCTCCGAGTCTGTGCTTCACTGCTGGCGTATCGCTCGTGGCCGCCCTCCGCCGTTTGCACAAAGAAGAAACAAAATGGCCCCGAATCGTCCACATCATCATCATCATCATCACTATCATCATTATCATCATCAACACAACCATCATCATAACTATCATCATCACCATCATCATATCACTATCATCATCACCATCATCACCACCACCGCCATCATCATCACCATCATCATCATCACCACCATCATCATCAGCATCAGCATCAACATCAGTATCAGCATCATCAACACCACCATCATCATCACTATCATCATCACCATCATCGTCATCACTATCATCATAACTATCATCATCACCATCACCACCATCATCATCACCATCATCATCACTATTATCATCATTACTATCATCATAACTATCATCATTACCACCATCACCATCACCATCACCATCATCATCATCATCATCATCACCATCACTATTATTATCATCGCCATCAACATCACTATCACCATAACTATCACCATCATTACCACCACCATCATCTTCATCATCACCATCATCACCACAATCATCATCATCACCATCATCACCACCACCATCATCATCATCAGCATCACCATCACTATTATCATCACCATCCGCTTCATCATCACTAACATCATAACTACCATCATCATCACCATCGCCATCATCATCACTATCATCATAACTATCATCATCATCATCCTCATCAACACCATCATCATCATCATCATCATCATCATCAGCATCATCATCATCATCATCATAACTATCACCGTCACCATCTTCAGCATCATCATCCTCATCATCACCATCATCATCATCATCACCATCAGCATCATCACCATCATCAGGATCATGCTCCTCTTCCGGTCTGCCGCAGCTCCACCGCCCGTTCTGCCCGTCCTGCGCCCCTCGGGCCCCCGGTCCCCAGGCGGCCCCCTCGGGCCTCGCGCCCCGAGCTCCCCTTGCCGCCTCTCTGCCCTGGCGGTGGTGCTGCTGCTCGGAGAAACACCGCGGCACCGAGAGGACCCCTCCGGGAGCAGGGGGCGCCTTGGCGTCCTGGGTTTTCTCCGCGTCCCAGGTCCTCGGCAAGATTCCGGGGAAGCGTGGGCCTCGGAAGGATCTGTCGTTTTCCTGCGACTGAGGAGGAGGAGGAGGAGGAGGAGGAGGAGGAGGAAGAGGAGGAGGAGGAGGAGGAGGAGGAGGAGGAGGAGGAGGAGGAGGAGGAGGAGGAGGAGGAGGAGGAGGAGGAGAGGGGAGGAGGAGGGAGGAGGAGGAGAGGGAGCAGGAGGAGGAGGAGCAGGAGAGAACGAGGAGGAGGAGGAGGAGGAGGAGGAGGAGGAGGAGGAGGAGGAGGAGGAGGCGGAGGAGGACGACCTCCAGACCTTTCTCCTGGTGCGTTCTAACTGGAATTTCGAGGCGAATCCAGCTGTGGCGACGAGGGCCTCCCAGCAAGGGGGCAGCGCCGGTGTATCGGTGCACCTCTTCCTCCCCTGAGCTGCTCTCCTCCGGCTGCCCCCTTTCCTGGGCCAGGGCTGGAGCTGGTGCGTGCTCGACCGATTTCGTTTTTTTTGTTGCCTCGCTGTCGTTCTGCAGCAGAGGCGGGACGAAGACGGAACAGAGGGAAGACGACAACGACGCGAGCACGGAAACAAAAACACTGCCCAGCTCGAGCCCTGCCCTGGGCTGGCCGGCAGGCACCCGGGCGGCAACCCCGGCTTCCAGGCCGCGCTGGCGCTCTTCGTGCGGGCCATGCCCGCCATGGCGGCCGCGGCGGAGGCGGAGCGGGCGGCCACCACTCGCCGAGCCACCCTGCTCCACCCGAAGGCCCTGGGTCGCCCCGCTCGGTATCGCTTCACCGATCCCCATCCCCATGCTCATCCCCTTCGAGGCCCCCACCAAATTAGACCCTCGAAGCCCGAAGGGAACGACCCAATATCCTCATCTAGGGGGGCAACTCGGCCAGTGGGGCCCAGGCCACGCCGCTGGGGGTGGGGATCGGTGAAACGATACTCAGTGCGGGGTCCATGGTTCAGGAGGGGAAAAAAACACACAGACACAATTAATCGTCGATCCCCAGGAAAATATGGGAAAATATGGGAAGTGGGGGGGAAGACAAAAACCCAGAACATATGGGAAAATGTGGGGAATCCTTTTTATTTGTGTGTCTTTATTTGTGTGTCCCAGTTTCCCTTCAATGGTGTTTTCTCGATGCTCTGGAGTGCCCCCCCCATCCGCCGGAAGTCGACGAGCCCGGCGGTGGCTTCTGGCTGGGCTTGGGTGGTCTGGCAGGTCTGGCAGGGGGGTAAGTCGGCCAGTGGGGCCCAGGCCACGCCGCTAGGGATTGGGATCGGTGAAACGAGGCTCAGTGCGGGGTCCGTGGCGCTTTCTCGATGCTCTGGAGTGCCCCTCCTCCGCCCAAAAAATCGACGAGCCCGGCGGTGGCTTCTGGCTGGGCTTGGGGGGTCTGGCAGCTCGCCCGCCTGGGGGGGGGGCGCCGGCCCGCGCCGAGCCCCGTCCTAGCAGGCCCTCCTTCACCTCCTTCTCCTCCTCCTCCTCCTCCTCCTCCTCCTCTCTTCCTCCTCCTCCTCCTCCTCCTCCTCTTCCTCCTCTTCCTCCTCCTCCTCCTCCTCTCTTCCTCGTCTCCCTCATCCTTCACCTCCTAGCTCGCACCTCGCGGAGTGGCTTCGCACGTCTCGGCAGGCTCTCGCCCCCCCGTCCGCGGCGAGGGCGGGTGTGCTGTTGCATCTTCGGGGGACCTCGCCTGTCCCAAAAATGGGTGTCTTTTTGGGGGGCCCCACGCGTGCTCGATGCGGACTCGACGCGGATTTGGCGTGGATTCGACGCGGATTCGACACGGATCCGACGCGTCCGACATGGATTCGGCACGGATTCGACGCGGACAGGGCCACGACGGGACAGACAAGGTCCCCCGAGGATGCAACATAACGGGTGGGGGCCACGAGAGCGTCGAACGTGCAGTCCACCCGCATAGGGAGGACGGGGCAACCTTCCCAAGGGTGCCCTTGCATCCTGGCCCCTTGGGCCCATCCTTGGCCACTTTCGCTGGCCAAGCTCGTCCGAAAAGCGTTCACATGGGCCTCCAGGGCGCTTGCATCCTTACCGTCCATCCTCATGATACGGGTTGACTGTATCCATCTGTCGCCGCGCCGATGGTCCCGACGCGCGGCCTGACGTCTCGGGGAGGGCGCCGCGGCCTCCCGGGCAAGCTCCGCCTCGGACGCAAGGTTTGCAATGGGTTTGCCGCGGTGCTGGTTGCGTCTCCTTGGGCGTACATTGAGCGGCTTGAATAAGGAACACTTGCGTTTCAAAAGGGGCTTGGTCGTTCCTTAGGCTTGAATGCGTTACTTCGTCTTCTCTTGCTGCGTTTTACCTACTATCTCTCGTCACTCATGCGATATTCCCTGGAAGAAAAAGGCGGCTACGTCCCTCATCTATCGTTCCTTAGGTCAGGCCCATGACTGTAGGGCGCAGGGCTTGCTACGGGTTTGCCGTGGTGTCGGCGTCGTCCACTGGGGTGCGTCGAGAACACTTTTTTTTGATCTGCGGCCCGCAAGGAAGAGGCCAGAGGGCGGGACAATCGGGCTGACTGGGGTACAGAGCCGGATAATTTGTGAACCCAGCCGTCACTGTCGACAGCCGACCGCACATGCAAGCATGCAGAGCAAATTTGCGGAGACGCATCTTAGCGTCGGCCGGGAAGAGGCGCGGGAAGAAAACAAATCGTCGAGAACACGCGGCGCGGCGACAAATTGAGAAGTGCTCCGGAAGGGGCCTCGCTTCGGGCGTCGGAAGACTTGCCGCCTCGAGGGCGGCGGGCGGCGGCGGAAACAGAGCGAGGGCGGCTCTGCCACGGAGGAGGAGGAGGAGGAGGAGGAGGGGGAGGAGGAGGAGGAGGAGGAGGAGGAGGAGGAGGAGGAGGTAAAAAATATGCGCACCCAGGATATGCCAGCGCTTTTGGATTCCGAGCTCCCAGGATCGGCCACGTCCGTGCCCTCGCGGTCGGGAATCCTGGGCGCCATCCTGCGGATAGTGCCGTCGCACGGGTGCGTCTGGCGCGGGGCGTCCGCGACGGACGCCCCTGTGCCCGCCGTGCCGCGGTCCAGGTGCCCAGCCTGCGAGGCCGCGGACAAGGGCATGTGTTTCCCCCATGGGGGGGGGCCAGCCGCGGGCAGGCGCGCTTTTGGGCTCCCGCGGCGATCAAGTCTAGGCGCTTCGCGTAGCCCACCAGCTCATCCAGAAGCGATACCCAGCGATTTGCCCTGATCAGCGATGATCAGTGCTGGGTAAGACTCCGTACGAGGAATCGGAGGAGAAGGAGGAGGAGGAATCGGCGGAGGAGGAGGAGGAGGACGAGGAGGAGGAGGAGGAGGAGGAGCAGGAGGAGGAGGAGCAGGAGGAGGAGGAGGAGGAGGAGGAGGAGGAGGAGGAGGAGGAGCTGGGAGAGGGGATGGGGGCGGGAGGAGGAAGGAGGCAGAATAGGCGGATGAGGAAGAGGATTCTGATGATGATCATGCTGATGCTGATGCTGATGATGATGATGCACATGATGATGATGCTGCTGCTGCTGATGATGATGCTGATGATGATGATGCTGCTGCTGCTGCTGCTGATGATGATGATGATGATGATGGTGCTGATGCTAATGCTGATGCTGCTGCTGATGATGGTGATGATGATGGTGGTGATGGTAATGGTGTTGACGACGGTACTGATGTTCGTGTTGATGATGCTGATGCTGATGCTGATGCTGATGCTGATGCTGATGCTGATGCTGATGCTGCTGCTGATGGTGATGATGATGAGGAGGAGGAGGATGATGACAAGGAGGAGGAGGAGGAGGAGGAGGAGGAGGAGGAGGAGGAGGGGAAAAAGGAGAAGGGCGAGCAGAAAGGCCAGAGGTCTCTTGTATGCCTCTAGGAGTCTCTTCGGATGTATCTCGAGAGCTTCTCAGAGTGGCTCTTGGCGGCCCCAGGGGCATCTTGGTGTATCTTGGGTGGGGGAGCCCCTTGGGGCCTCTTGGGGGTTTGTTGGGAGCCGCTTGGGGACCTTTTGGGGGCCTCCTGGGGCCTCCTGGGCGCCACTGGGGGCACTCTTGGGCGACTTGGTGGCCGTCTTGGGGCCATCTTGGAGGAGTTTGATCAGAGAAGGGAGGGTACCCGATTAGGGCCTCCCCCCAGGAGGCCAAACTATGGCCCACACCTTAGCATAATCAATGATTCAGGCCTTCTCGCCGAGGCCATCTTGGATGCTCTAACCCCTCTCGGGCCATCTTGGAGGAGTTCGATCAGAGAAAGGGGGGGTACTCAATTCCCCCCCCAGGAGGCCAAAACCTCAGTATAATCAGTTAGTTTGGCCTTCTCGCCGAGGCCATCTTGGACGCTCTAGCCCCTCGCGCCTCCCCACGTCCAGGTCCAGGGAGAGGGGCAAGGGGGAGGGGTGAACCCCGAAGAATGGGGGCTGGAAGAGGAAGGACGTGCTCTAAACCGCTCACGCACCAAAGGGCTGGTGGGATTCATGGGTGTAGGGTCAAGTCGGGCGTGTCCCTCTACAGGGGGAAGATTCAAGAATAGTTTAAACATAGTCTGGGGACTATTTTTCGAGTATTTTTTGGCCATTTTGGGGTCTCTGTGGAGTATTTTTCATTTTTCGTCGACAATCCCCTGCAGGGGGACAGGCCTGACTTGAGTGTAGGGTCTTGGGATCGGCGTGCACGTGCGTGCCTCCCCGGCCGAGGTGGCCCTGGGCCCGGGGTGGCTCTCCGAGCAGCGTCGGCGGGAGTGCACGGCTGGGGCCCCTCCGCGACGGCGCGGAGGGCTCGCTTCAGGAGGGAAGACATACACAGGCACAATTAATCGTCGAGGAAATACATGGGGAATCTGGTTCTTAGTGTGTATTTCTTTGTGTGTCCCGGTTCCCCTTCAACGATGGCCATGACGAATCAGTCGTGGGGTTTTGTGGCCGCGGATCTCGGTCATGGTCCTTTCCTGCCGCCGCCGACTCGCGAGGACGATGTTGAAGCTTGACTGCTCAGGGCTTCCTTCGAGCGGGGCAACTGGCCTGGCGGGCTCGAGGGGAGGGACGGAGGGCGAGTGGCACAGGGCGGCAGCGCGAGCACCGGTGGCTGCGGCGGCAGGCACTTGCCCCGCCGACCTCAGCTCCGAACGAGACCACGCTGTGACGGCCCACAAGTTGGCGCCGACCGAAGATGGATCACGCATTGTACAGTCGGGGCCCTAAAGAAGGAAACTTTTTCGTTGGGGAGGGGCTCCGCGTTCCTTAAGTGTTTCACAGCTTGCCTCAGGTTTTCCTTATCCTTTCGACAGGAAATCGAAGTTCAACTTCTGGAGAAAAGGGGCCTCGTTCCTTATTTAGGGTTCCTTAGGTCAGCGCCCCGACTGTATGTTTCTCAGATACACCAGATGTTTTTCCGCATCGAGGCTACGGCCTCCACCGCCACGCCCAAGCGGGCGTGCGCACGGATCTGGAGTTCGTTCGTTCGTTCGTTCGAGCTGGACCACGACCAGGATCGGCACCGACGTCGCCTCGGCCCGGCCTGGTCGTGGTCGTCGCCTTAACCCAGACATGCGACGTCCTGATTTTTTCAGGACGGCGTCCCTGGAAGTCCAGACCCTTTCCCCGGGGCCGGTTTTTCGTCCTGACTCGTTTTTTGACGGTCCCGAGGCCTGGCGAGGGCCCCCCGGGGCCGAAAATAACGAAAAACCTCCCGTCCTGATTTTTTTACGGCGCCATCATGTCTGGGAAGATTTCCCTCCGGAGGTCGTCCGCCCGAGCGCCCCGCTCCGCCCCCCTCCGCCCCCCGGGGGCGGCCCCAGGCCGTGGCCCGGGCGGTGGGCGCGCCCTTCCTGCGGTCGGACTTCTTCGTCGGCAGCGAGAGGCCCCGGGGCACGGGGCGACGGCGGCGACGCTCACCGAGCGCGCTCCACGGGCCCGGCAGAGTGCCCACGCGCAAACGTCCGGAAGAAGCACGTCTGCCTCTCGATGGAGAGGCGTCGCAGATCCCCCGCGGCGGCTCCGGGCAGTTTGCGAGTGGCTCCTCTGCGAGTGGTGCAACGCGCTTGTCGAGACGCCCTCCGTGCTTCGGCGACCGCAGCGGGTGTGGTTGCGCCAGGGCGTGGTCTGCGGTCGGCGCCGTTGGGGCTCAGGGGTCACCACGTTGCGCCAAGGGTCTGATGAGCCCTTGTCGGGGGCGCGGCAGAGTCCTCCGTCGAGGTCCTCGCCCGCCCCCCCAGGCGCGGGCTGCAAGCAACACCGTTTGCAAACCGCTCTCGTCGGAGTCGCCGATTGCCGTCTGCCTCACTGGTCGGCCGTGCACGGCGCGGCCCCGAGGGACGGCGGCGGCGACGACGAAGCCCTCCAGCGATCGTCGAGCTGATATCAGCCTGGATGGGCGGATGGCTGGATGGATGGATGGACGCAAGGGCGGCGAGGAGGAGCAGGAGGAGGAGGAGGAGGAGGAGGAGGAGGAGGAGGAG